GTCCTAGCTGAAACCTGCGAAACTTCACAAACCGCTCCCAAAAGACAATAATGTGTGAGAAACAAGGAGCAAACCGCTCGAAAAGGATTGGGGTGTTTGAAAAGCAGAGAACAGACTTCTCGAAAGAGACCTGGGTGTTTGAAAAACAGGGAGCAAGCTGCTCGAAAAGGGACAAAAGTGTTTGAGACACAAGGAGCAAACCGCTCGAAACGGGCTAGAGCGTTTGAGAAGCGGGAGCAAGCCGCTCGGAAACGACTAGAGTATTTGAGAAACATGAGGACTAGAGTGCTTGAGAAAGAATGAGCAGCCCGCTCGAAGACAAGAGGCAGCATACCGCTCGAAAGGGACTGGAATGTCTGAGAAACAGGGAGCAAACCGGTCGAAGTTTGAGAATCAGGGAGCACCGCCCGAAAGGGATTAGAGAATTTGAGAAACAGGGGGCACACCGCCCGAAAGGGATCAGAGTATTTGAGAAACAAGGAGAGAGGCGATTGAAGGCTACCTAGGTAAAATACTTGGGAAACAGTGAGCAAATCGCTTGAAAGGGACGAAAGTATTTGAATAATAGGAAGTAAACCACTTGAAAGAGAGTACTTGAGAAGCAGGGAGCAAACCGCTCGCAAGGGACTAGAGTTTTTGAAAAGCAAGGAGCAGACCGCCTGGGGACTGCAGTGTTTGAGACAGGCAGCAAACCGCTCCAACGGGACTAGAGTATATGAGAGACAAGGGGCAAACAGCTCGAAAGGGACTGGAGTATATGGAGCAGTGTTTGACAAACAAGGAGCATATCGCTTCAAACAAAAGAAGTATAGTAACCATAGAATACTTCTGCTGGCAATGCTGATGGGCAGGATGCCATGAGAGTGCAGCGACGTCGTGAAGTCTTTTTACGAGGTCGCGAGCCAGCGAGGTGATGCCGCAAGGTCACGACGTGAGGCTGCGTTCAGGTGGTCAGGCCGTGAGGCGAGGCCTCAAGGCCGCCAAGTCGTGAGGCCGCGAGGTTCTGACGTCAGGTCGTGAGGCCGGGCGGGTGGGAGGTCAACGAGGCCGCCTCGAGGTGAGGCCGCGAGGTCACCAGGTTAGGCCGCGAGGTCGCGAGGTCAGGCGTTGAGGTTGAGGCCGCCTCGAGGTGAGGCCGCGAGGTTACCCAATCCCGCAAACCCATTGTCTGATCTGATCTGCATTTTTTCGACCCTCTGCCAAGCTAATCCTACATCTCCAAGCCCAAGTCCTCCGAGGCTCAAGCCCTTGACTCGAATCTCTGAATCTTGAGCTTGGAACTGCAGACCCCCGCAACAGCGAAAACACTTCAATCCAAAAACCCTTGTCCGAGTGTGAGAGCCGAAACCCCGCGCTGGCGGAGTCCGAGTTGCGAGAGCGTAAACCCCACGCTGCCCTACACTCACATAGGAGCCTGCGGGCCTTGCGAATCGGAGGACTGGTGGCAGGAGATGCCACTTGCAGCCCAAGATTTGGCCCTCGTGGCTCCTGTGAAGAAATGGAGTTTCGGTGTTTCGCATTCGGGTGTGTGGGGTTCGGGAAGTTCGCGTTCTGGAGAGAGGGTTCCCTTGCTGTTGCCTTGAACAATTTGAACATCTCGAGTGTGAGGGCTGGGTGTTTCGGCGAAACGCGGTTTCGGTGTTTTCGGTGGCCGGCTCCAATCAAGCCTGTGTAAAAAAGGCTAAGCTTCTTTGGCGTCTGAGGAAAGTGGAGTTGGAGTCATGCGGCTGCGGGCGAAAGAGTTGAGGGACAAAGCCACATGCGGTAGGGAATCTCGAGGCGAGACGGGTGTTTGGAGGTTTCGCAAGGCAACTCCAGATCGGGATCTGACACCACGACACACGGTGCCAGAGGGAAGCAGCTATGCCGCACAAGAAGCTAGGTAATCTGAAAGGGCCGTTTGGAGATCTAGTGCCGAGGTCATTGCAACCTGGTGCGTCTTGATGTAGAACCTTAAATAGTAGCCGGCCCGCATGCATCTGGGGGAGCCCTAAAGCATCTCAAAGCCCTAAATCTCATGAGCAGGGCGGTCTCGAAGTTTCTTGTAGAGCTCATCAGGCAAAGGAGGTATAAATTGGCCGCCACCGGATCCGGATCGTCCGAAGCGGGCACGACCCTTGTGGCGAGGAGCACCAGGGAGTGCCGTGGGCCAGGACATCAAGGCTGTGCCCATTCTGTCCAGGATATCGAGGATCCACGCCCCAAGAAACCTGCTAGCAAAAGGCGGGGAGTTTGCGGGTTTTTTTGCACCGCTCAGGACCAAGATCGTTCGAGCACGGAGATTTCACAAGGTGTAGCAGGACGCTATAGTGCTCGCCGGCCAGTTAACTATGGCAGGTAAGTGGGCCGAGCGGGGGTAGAGGACAACAACGCATCCGAGATGAGAATCGACGCACCAAGCTGTGAGGTCTAACCGGGACTGGGTTTGATGCCCGAAAGGGAAGGGAAGGTAGGCAGAAGCAGGACTTACGGAAATAATTCGAATCCAGAGAGATTCAAACTTGAAACCTTCTGATCTTGAGTCAAGCACACTGCCGTTGTGCCAGGCATGGCACTGCAGCATGCGCCCGGAGATCTATGAGTAGAAGCCAGAATTCCAACGTGTTTGCACGCAGCTGCACGCTTTCGGCGGGTTGGTATGATCCGTGGTCCGTGGATGAAAGGGCAGGGGGGCCCCGACTTGGCATTCAGTGCTTGAAAGGTTCTGGTCGGCTAGATCAGGGTTTCTTTCGCAAAGGCTGTAGAGTTGATGCAGGTAGGAAGATGCGGAAGATGATGGAGGTAACAGCTTTCAGATCTGGGGTTCGTGATGACGTGCCCTACCTGTCCATATCGTCTGTCGTCCCCTCACCTACCCCGTTCTGCACTTGCAGTCTAAAAGTGCAATGAATAATAGTGCTCGGGTAGATTGGATTCGAACCACAGGGTGTGCAAGTTTCTTGCAAAACATCCGAAGCGGTTGAAATCCAACACTCGCGTCGGCCCTTCACCCTGCTTGAAGCTACAGGCTCTGCCGGTCCAACATTGGGCGAACCGCTTTCCGTGGGACAGGCACCTTTGAGGTTCCAGTTTTTTTTTTGGTGTGTGGTGGTTGGGGTTTCGGTGCATGTTCCCAACCCCTAAGCCTAGGCTAGGTCCTTGAACGAAGAGGTTGTTTGACCCCTGGACTTGCCCACGTCACGACTCTCTCGAAGCTTAGTTCCCTGCAGCGCGGCATTGTCAGCGAAGCGGGTGGGAAACAACTGCAAAGCTTCGTAGTGTGAACAGGTTTCGGACATCCTGGAAGAAAGACAAATCATGTAGCCACATGGCTCCGCGTGGAGGTCATATTAAAGCATGCGAAAGCAACGGCACATGAACTGAGACCATGAGCTTGGAGATGGGATGCCACTCCAGGAATTAACAAGATGCTTTGGACGCCAATCCTTGATACCATGAATGCAAATGTCTGCCAAGCAGTCATACGTAAGTCATAAGAGTCATAACCGCTTGGGCATCGGTCTCGAGGGTTCGCTTGCTGTTCCGGGTCTCAGAAGTTGAGACATAGAGCTTGAGGCTTCGCCTGACTTTGACAAGCACCTCAGCTAAAGCCCTGAACAGGAACACAACCTTGTGGTGTGGCTATGGCGTCGTACGGAAAGTACCAGCCGGCGCCAAGGACGAGAAGAAGGGATGCCCATATCAAACTATCAACCGGTCCGACGCAGCAAGCTCCTGAACGCTAACCCAAGCCCCAAGCCCTACGCGATTCCGACAGCGCAAAACCCTGAGCCCTCGACCCTAAACCTCGCCACGGTTCCTTTCAACATCTTTCAACTGTCGGACCGTCGTAGGAGACCTTAGACTTGTGAGGCTCTTGCAGGCTCGATGCAACAAAAACATCCCAATACTGAATACTGCTGCTGTTCTTTCGGCAACGAATGGCTTGACTTCAAGGTGCAACAATCCCAAGCGAAGGGGCTCAGCAACGCGACAACCGCTCCAGCCGTAAACCGCAAAGCCTCTTTGAGCGACCCAGAGTGATTTCTTCTGCACCTGCAGGAGAAGCCGCCCATGCCCCTCTGCTTCCTGGGCGACACAGGCGCTTGAAGTGTTAGGAGTTCTGGGTCTAGGTTTTTCAGCTTATGCTTTAGGGTTTGGGGTGCTCAGTGTTCAGGGCTTAGGCTAAGGGTTTTGGGGGCTTGGGGTAACAAGTTAGCAAAAAGGGTTCGCTGGGGCGCTCGCCGGCAGCTCAGTCCGTGAAGGCAGGGGCGAAGGTCGGTTTTGGGGGTGGGAGCCCATAGCTCCCGGACGAGGCTTTGATAAGGTTCGGGGCTTGGGGGTTAGAGTTTAGGAGTTTAGGCTTGCAATAGGCCTGGATGCAAAAAAGGCTCTGGGGTTCAAGGTTCAAAGTTTGGAGCTTAAGGCCTAGCGTTCAGGGTGAAGGCCAAAGCTTTAAGGCTGAGGCTTGGGGCTTCGAGGACTTCGATGAGGCCTCGGCTTGCGGAGGAGGAGGTTTCCGGCTTAGGACTCGGGGGCGCCAAGATCCAATGAAGCCTCGCCTGAGGAATCAACGTCAGAACATCGGAGTACTTGTCGCTGCAGCCTGGAGGCTACTGCCCAATCTTCCAGCTCCTTGGGACGAAGTACGACATCGGCTTGGCCTTGGTGCCAATAGGCAGCCCACGAGCACGCTAGCTCTGCTAGCCATGGGATGTAAACCGATTCAGTCCCCGGGTGAAGCTTGTGGCTGGCTTGTTGATCGTGGTTGGACAGTCGATGGTCTGCGCACTGTGTGCTTCTCCTGAACACGGTTTGCAGGATCGAGGGCTGGGAAATTCGGGCTTCATTGTCAGCGCTTCCATGATAATGACAATGATTCGATAGCGGCGGCTTCATGTTGGCATCGACACCTCGAGGCTCTTTTGCAGACGCCCGCGTTGGCCTGGGGGTATTCAAGGCAAACAGGAAGCATCAATAGCGGGGATGCAAGTGCAGATGCGCATCCGTTTCTGCCAAAGGGGTCGTCTGCAGTGCGTAGGGTCTTCGGGGAATGATGAGGAGAGGTGGGATTCCTTTGCGGTTCCGGGCTAAATCGGTTGTAGTGACTTGTAGTGGTTACTCAATTCCTGGATTCGGGGGCCTCCTGGCAGGTGCATACCACCCGCGCTGGTTCATGGCACCTTCGCACACGGATCCGGCTGACGCCGTGCGGATCGTTGATGAAGCTTGGCATAAACGTGAAGTCCTGACCTCAACATCCAAGAATAATCAGTATTGCTGCGCCCGCCTGACGTGTTCGAGTGCGAGTGCTAAAAACAAGTAGCTGCCAGCTTCTGAGCCTAAAATTCCGATGCATTTTCGGCATGCATCATGAACAGGCTTTCCAGCTTTGCATGGAGTGGTTGGGTAGCGAAGTGTGACTTCATGCAACTGGTGGGCACCATCTAGCCGGAAATTCAGACGGAACCAGAGCAGCGCCATCCGTGATTTTGCGGGTTGTGGCAGTGATGTTAAACTGGCAAGGTGGCTGCACTGTATACACGGGATATCATCTGTTCTGAGCTTTCGGTGCGTGGCTCGGCCAGCCGGCTGAAGCTTTCCCTGAGGAACTCAATGCCGACGCGGCGCTGGCCATTCACTGGGGCAGCCTGGGTGCTTTATTTGAAGACTTCCATCTGCCTGCTTTGCTGGTTGCAGGTTTTGACATCTCCGTTATCGTGTCTCGATCCGGGGCATTGAACGTTGACAGCTGCCGGGATTTCGCTGCGTTACCATGAGCGATCATCATCATGCTCTTCTGTGACACCACCTTTGCACGTACATCTATCAAAATCGCAATAACCGCCATGATGAGTCAATGATGACCAGACCAGGAAGTCTAGCAACATAACCCAACAAGTGCACGCGCAACGCGGGCAACACTACCAGCAATAGCAAGAACAGCACCAACAATACGAGCTGCATCGTAGGTTCATCCTAGCCAGGCAAGAGGCAAACAACAATTATAGTCTGATGCTAACAACTTTAACGCTGCTTGCGGATGCAAGCAACACAGTGGTCGTCGCCGTCAAAGCCATACTAGTCACATTGCAGGCGGACCACTGACAGCGGCAGGAAGGGTAATACTCGTTGTCGTTTTCGGCAGTAGAGTAGCAGCAAGCAACTGTCTTCGCCCCCTGATGGATCATCGTCCTAGTGGTTCAGTTGTACAGGCAATACTGCCGAGAAGGTTAGCACCAGTAGTCTCGGTGTTACTGCTACTTGTACAGCCAGTGCCAGCGAGACGATTGATAATTTGAAGGATACTGACAGATTTGAACTGCGGGGTGCGCTCGTGCACGACACTGTTTTCCCTGTGTTTCGACTTGCCTCGAGATTTTTCGTGTCTTGGTTTTACACAATCGCGATGTGTTTGCAGTGTTGCGCAGAGTAGACTTCTTGTCGTTGAAAAGCCTTTTGTGGGGAACTATGCATCCATGTACAGTTCCCGAGAGGCAGGCGTTTGAAGTCGCAAGCCTCCCCATGCTCAGCCCGCTGTGCAGGCACTTATCGGCTGACGAAGGACGCACTTGTGTGTGATGCTGGGATGGTTTTACCGTCTCTTTGCCAAAGCCCAGCATGCAGCCTCGGGGCACCACTCTGTGACGGGGCCTGGGGCCCTGCTACGCCGTCCACCGCATTGCTTGAGCGGGTTGAGGCATTTGTTTGCACAACAGGAAAGACCATGCTTGCAGCAGTTTGACTGACTGCTCCACAACCCTTCTGCAGCACAGCTGCTTTGCCCTTTTCGGCACCCGAATAGCCTGAGTGCTAAACAAACCTCTACCCTATGTCAGTGTTATTGCAGAATTTGAAAATCCTTTGCCGGCTTGCGGTATCTTGCGATGCTGTAAGTTCTCATCTAGGGCTGATATCGGAGCCCGCCTCGCGCTCAGAAACCTGTCGCTCAGCGCTGCAAGCCCCATCCTGCAAGCATTCTTGAGTGAGGGGTGGATGCTGCTGAAGTTTTCCGGTTTTACGTTACGCATAGACCTAGGCGGTAGAAGTCGGGATCTCTCAAGAGCAGCGGGTCCGGCTACGAGTCGGCGTCGGGGCAAATACAGCCTTGTGGGCGCAGAAACGGGCTGGAACAGGCAGACTTACCGCGCCAAGGATAAAGGTGAGGCCCTGCAACATTATTTGCAAATTGACTGGCAAGAACCGCCCAGAGCAGCAGGTCGGGCCGTGAGACGCGGTGCCCAACGGCACCGCAGATGCAAAGATGCCAAACAAAGGTATTATTGAAAAACAAATGTCAGTCCCTATCATTCATACATCAGTTCAAGTGCCTGGACTGGGGATCAACAATTGTCCGCAACTCTATGCCCTCAACTTCGAACTGTTGACTTAGCTTCGGCTACCCATGAGAACGGGCAAAGACAGTGCAGTATCCCCACACCCACAGAAGCCTTTTGTAATTGGTTCAGGAGACGCCCGAAGTGCAGCTTCGGGATCTGGCGAAGGCCAGGGGGAGCGACCGGCGCCTGCGAGCCGTTCGGCCAGGAGGTGGAGGGCCTCCGTTGCATCAGACCCACTCTCAGGAAGTAGAAGTACAAGTGCAAGTAAAAGTAAAGAGGAGGAGGAGGAGCAGCAGCAGCAGCAGCAGCAGCAGGAGGAGTGGCAGTAGGAGTAGTCGCAGTCGCAGCGGCAGTAGTGGTAGCAGTAGCAGTTTCAGAAGCAGTAGCAGTAACAGTCGTAGTAGCAGTACAAGCTGCAGCTGCAGTAGCCGTCGCTGGAGCCGGAACCGTAGCAGTAGTCGTCGTCGTCGTAGTGGTGGTGGTAGTAGT